CGAAATGCGCATCCGTGGTTTCTCGCATGATGACGCGTGACTCATCGGCCGATCTAATTTATAGTCTTATCGCGTTGGAAATACTCGATGCGATCCAGTCGCTCGATAAAACAAGCTTGAGTTATCGCGATTACGGCGTAAACCGGGTGGCGCGCTCTTCGTCTTCGCGAAGTTCGATGCTTTGAAATTAACGGGAGAAAAACACGAATGTTCTCGTGCGATCTCCAAATAAATTTTCGAATTTGTACTTGACCCGTCAGGTGGCGCGACCAACACGTACGGTGCAAAAATTCAATGTTCACATAATTATCAAATTAGTCTGTTTCTACAATTTAGCACCGCCGGGAAACGCTCTACTGGTTATTTTAAATCCGCCGGCCCGCCTTCGTTTCGGAACGGCGAGGACAGGATTTCGACGGTCAACGCGAAAATAAAAACGGCTCAACGACTGCGTCCGAATATCGGCCCGAAAACATAAGCGCAGATTTTCTCGCGCGTTTCCGTACCTCCGCGGCTCAGTTTCCCATAATTTGCCCCGTTCGGCCCGGCAGTATTTTGCGAGTTATTTTCCCCGAATACTCTCTCGGCTCGGCAAAACACAGGCAGGACCCCGCGCAGTAATCGCGCTCGGTCTGGTAAGCGCGGAGGCGTGCGCGCATCTGTTACACCTGATAGCGAGTGCAGCGGCGTACGGCACGTCGATAACGTTATCGCTGGTGCACGATCATTTTTCTCCCTCGATCAAGGCCTGTCGACGTCATCCCGATGAATATTCGTCCCAAAAACAGCTCCGAAAATTCGGCCGGTTTGTCCAACCGTCCGGCGGCGCCGCGCCCCGCCGGACTTTGACCGTAAAAATCCGACGGAAAAAATGAAAATCAGCATGTAGTCTCGAATACCCGCATTCTCACGTCGTATCACGGATCTGCGGTGGTTAATCGTACCCCTAGACCACAGGCTGACTGTTAGAAAAGTAGTTTATTTCACAAGACAATCCGCGACGCGCCTCGCCGCGCGAAGCGCCGTTGCAGCGCGCGCGCTCCGCCACTTTTATTATCTCTCCAAACGCCGATACTTTCTTACGCGAGCGTATATCGCGCCTGTTAATGTTGTTATGCATCTGCGGACGAGGAGAACACGACTATCGGGCAATTACGCGCTCGTACTTCGCTCGGGAAACGACCGCATCGACGCATTTCCGAAGCTCTCGAAAAGCGCGAGTTCTGCGACTCGCCGAATGGATGGATTCTAGTTAGGAAAACTACACAGATTCCGGTTAGGTTTTGGTCAAAAGTGTAATATTTCAAACATAACTACACGGTAATCGTGTCGCGAAGGAAGCGTTCGAGGTGTCAAGAGGTCGCCGGGTCGGGGCCGCGGTCGAAGCGGTGCGCGATAGCCGAAAAAAGAGGAGAAAAATGGAAGCCGGTCAGCAGCTTATCGTTTCCTTTCGAGAACGAAAGTGGAAAGGCAAACCAGGGGGCCGGTGAGGGGGGGGGGGGAAGAGTCCGGAGAGGGGGGNAAGAGTCCGGAGAGGAGGGTGCCCGCAGTGATTGGACGTTTGCGCCGTGCAAACACAATCGGCGACCTTCCTTCCGCCGATTGAATTAATACCCGGCGAATTAGAATAATCGAATATTTACGGTACGTGCCGGCCGCCCCCGGCGATTAATCAGTGTAAGCAAACCGTGACGACGGTGACGCCGACTACGGGTACCACCGTCGCTCACGAGCTCGCTCTCCGGCTCTCGTGTTCCGCTCACGAATGACAATCGCTTTTGTGACAGCTAATCCGGCCGAGAGAGAAAAGAAAGAAAGACTCTTCGTCTTCTTGGTGTCGTGTTCACCTCAGAGTCGTTGCTTGGCACTCTACGCGTCGACAGGCACTGGGTCTCTCCCAGGTCAGAATATTATAGCTCAGTCCAATAAAAGTCTAAAGCTCGGTTTTAACAAATCAGTCAAGCTGATCCGTAAGCTCAGTCCGGTAAAAATCGAGAAGCTCGTTGCAGTTCAAAGTTCATTTCAAAATCTGTAAGCTCCAGAATTCAGAGCTAAGAATCCATGTAAAAATAATATCACGTTAATCCATTCAAACCCGATTACCGAGGAATAATACTTCCACACGAGGATTTTATATATTTTAAATTGTAAACCGTGAGCCTATATCATTTCTTACTTAAACGATTTGTTATTAGAAGACATTTCTCCCTCTAAGTGGAGAATCATTGAGCAAAATATAATCGCCCACTTAGCCAAACATGCCAAGATTCGTCTTTCCGATGCATAATCTTCAACTGACACACAGTCGGGTCAGAAGCAAAAATTTGAAATTTCATTAATGCTGTTATAGCCTCATTGTTTTCTTTATTCTGAATTACCTTATCAAAGTTTATTTGGTTTATAAAGTAAAAGCACAAGGGTAAATAAATTCCGATTATTAATAATTATTCTCCTCTTTTCCCCCCTTATTTTCATTCACATACGCACATACGTCATGCAACACAAGAAGTTAACCATCCCGGGCGAAGTTGGTTAAATCTTCTGACTCTAAAAAGGACAATTTAAATCCATATCCGCGACGTGACGCAATATACGCATATTGTGTCACTGTCACGTTTCTGCTGAAACAACAGGAAGCTACAGCTGGTGCGGAAAATTACTGTAACCTTAGTGACCTCAACTATTGTTCTTCCTCAGTGTACTAAATTAATCACTAAATTAGTCATCCCGGACAGCAACTATCGGCGACTACCGTTGCGTTTTTTCGCGCGCTAACAAAAAACTCGTAGTCCGACGCGGCGGATCAATGCTCTATTCGATAAGGAAAAAAGTCGCGGAAATATTCCTCGGGACGGGCGTCTTCGCGGAAATTCCGAGACTCCCTGTCGGGCTGATATTTCATTCGACGCGTTTCACGAGGCACAAAGGCGACTCACGACAAAGAGGACTCACGGGGCCGCGAGTTCCGTCTTTTATCGCGCGCGTCGAACGTCAGCTTGCAAAATTCTCTCCGAGCGATCGGTGCGAATTTTCTCGCTGCTCTCGACTGTCACCCTCTCCCCCTTCGACCCCCTCCTTCGCGCTCGTGCGATGCGTACGAACCCCTGTTTTTTTCGTTGTTTGGCGACAGCGTGCGTGTTTTCGTGCGAGAGCGGAGTCGATACCCGAACGACGCGGCTGTAATTATCATCCGCGGACAGGGGTCAGCGAATTATCGCGAGTGCAGCGTGCATAGCGCTACGTCATTCCGTCGGTGGGCATCGCTACTCTCTCTCTCTCTCTCTCTCGTGCATACGCTCAAACCGATGTTTATTCCGCCGGCGATCGAGAAGTGATTTTCGGGGCGGTAAGGGCGCGCCGACGTGGCACTTTCGGACACGGTGCGGAGGCGCGAGCACCTCGGGTGCCGCCGAAATCGCCGTCGACCCGCCTGAGGAGCGTCGAATTCGACCTGTGACACGGTGACGGTGGTGTGCGATCGTCGAGGTTGACACTATCTCGATGACGGCGCGACCGCGCGCATTCGGTACGTTCGCGTCACGATCGATTTCTCCCCGACACTTAAGAAAGTTATTTTCCCGCTCGGCTAATTAATCCTGTAGATTTACGGGACTAACGTGTGACTTATGTTGTTACTAATCATTCGGGGAAATTACGACCGAAGGAAGAACACACGGAGAAGGTGGTATTACGGCTCTTGCACAGGTATCGTGACTTCTTTCAGTATCTCGGATTTAAATGATGAATCTTAGCGATTACTTATGGAATCGTTTGTTTAATGCCCCGCCGTCGATACGCAATAGCCGGTATTCATTACAACGCATTTTTACATTTAAGCATTTCGAAACGTTTAAAGATTATCTTGCCATTCAATTACAGATATTTTCTTACCAAACTTAAGCGTATCAGCATAGAAATATATAGATGCACTTGAGTGTTCCGTTCGTTATTTAACATTTCACTCGGCTGTGCGTATTTCGAGTTATGCAAAATTAAACGATAACACGACACTTTGCTAATGTGACGCCCCAAGACATACTGTTGTGTTTTACAGCCAATGCAAGTTAGCTGTCATTTTCCTTGTCAGTTTTCATTCTCCTATTTACAGTTAATATGTTCAACTGTTTGATCTGTTCGATCCTGCAAAGGTCAGAAATGTCGGGTCGAATTGCGCGTTTCGCGCGATTCAATGAAGGAACGCCACTGGCGTTTCAGCGCGTTCGCAGTCGGTCGCGTTTAAAAAGAGTTATTTCGAAGAGCGTTACCGGTGCCTCTCGCGAGAGAGAAAGAGAGAGAGAGAACGAGGTAGAAACACGCGCGATATTTTTCGTTTCCCCCGACCGAAAAAGTGACACGTGAAAAATTTCACGCGATTCCACCGCAGAATCGCGAGCGAGCCGTAGCTCTCTCATCGAAACGGATGCGATTGACGTGAGACCCGCCGCCGTGGTAAAAACCAAAAGGTGAAGAGGTTCGCGAACAATTGCATGCACGGTCTACCTTCGGAAATAAAAAAGCCCCCTCGAAAAAAACGACAGAAGAGGGAAAGAATAAAAAACTGCAGAAACCACAGGAAGAGAGAGAGAGAGAGAGAGAGAGAAAGCGAGGGGCTCTCCGCGCTCGCGCACTCCGCGCGAATACGGCGAAGCGTACAGAGCGAAGGTGCGATACACGAGGCGGAAATGACAGTTTATTAAATTAGTGTCACCATGGTGACCGGTGGTCAAGGAAATGGGTGACCGCGAGCGAGCAGTCGAAGTCTGAGTCTGACGGCGCATTTAGCGGTCAATCGGTTCCGGTCGCAACGACGAGACAAAATATGACACAGCGACGTCTCGCGTGATGTAATGCGAGCAGACCGGCTCGTAAACGCGATCTTATCCCTGAGAGATGTAATAATCGCGTGTCTCGCCGATCGGATCAAACGCATGTATCCGCACACAAACGTATACAAACACACACGTACACACGCAGACGTGAATATATTCCCGCGGCGTATCGAGCCGATGAAAAATCGTCGCTCTCCCCGCGGCGAACGGCGGCCGTAGGCAACGGGAGCGCGATCGATCGTGGCGGAAACCGGCTCGATTCGTCGATCACGCCGGCCAGTTCGTGATCGTTGGTTTGGTGACTTGTTGACAAACGTCGCGCGAAGATGCCGGAGCGCGTTATCGCCAGACTCGTCATCGGAAGTTAATCTCGTGAGTAATGCTCTCTTGATCTATGGAACCGGTAAATAGTGCGATTCTCTCGAGTGTTCGCGATCCTTTCTTTTCGCTCTTATTTCGACGATATCCTTCGGTGTCTCCTGCTGAAGAAACCGAGGAGTCGGGTCGTTCGTGTCGTTTGTGTCGCGGAGAGAACGCGGAGAATGGGAATATCGCGACGATTGTGTAGCAGAAGTTCGGGTCTCACGCTTAACGCGTGCGTGCGTGTGTTTTACTTATGACTGTTAATAAGAGGCCAAAAGTAACGCAACTCGCGGAGTTAAGCCCGTATCCACATACAGCGCGGCGCAAAGGATAAACGAAGGTAGCCCGGAAACGCTTTGTGGTGGCGTCCGTGAAGACGCGCCCGCTCGCTGGTTTCCGCGATTCGTACAAGATTTAACGCCCGCCATATTAGCACTTCGCACACCGACTTTACACGGCCGCACTCGTGATTTTGCATTTCGGCTCACGGGCTTTGCAAATACGCCGGCTTCATGCGCGAATCGCTGGAGCGAGTAAACAAAAACTCGGACCTCCTTAAACCAGGGAGAACTTAAGGGGTTACATCACCCCGGAGAGCTCAAAATGATAAGTAACTTTATGAATTTTGCATAACAATATTGGTGTGGAATAACAATATTGGTGGTGATAATAATAAAATGAAAACGGATAAATGGACGCGACGAGTCCGCGCGCGAGCCGCCTCGCAACTTCGACGTCGCGCATTCATCATCGAACGATCGTCGGGACGTGCGAAATTTGTCACGGCAAGAGAGAAAGAGAGAGAGAGAGAGAGAGAGAAAGAGAGAGAGACGCGAAATCTATTATCGGCAAAATCGGGAAAACGTACGAAATTTATCACACGCGGATCCGAGACATGAGCGCGCGCGTCCCGCCGGCTGCGGGGTTCAGGGGGAGCGAAGGAGGTGGGATTGCGTGAGAGAGGCACCATTTTCTTCTGCACGTCAATCCGTCTTTCTTGCAGACGGTATTTTCAACCCGGTAAAAATCCGCACGCGCCCCACGTCGATTGGGAAACGTCAAGAATCGCCGGACGATGTTTTATTTGGACGGGAGAGGCGATGCCGCCGCCATCACCACCACCACCGCAAAATACGACTCGCTGCCTCCCAACGGAGAAGAGAATTTCGGCTGGTGGTTGAGCCATTGGAAAATCGCGGTATCGCCGCGATCACGCCGCGATGAGGACCATTATCGATCACCAGGATCGTCCGCGTCGATGCTGTCCTGCGTCGACTCGGACGACTCGAGCTGCTGCACCTTCACGCAGAATTCGTCGGCTGGCCGGCAAGAAAAAACGTACGAAAATATCGAGCTTCGCATGTTCGCGCGAGATGATCTGGATATCGGGCTGATCAAAAGAGACGCTCAGGTAACAACGGTGAGAGAAAGTAGAGATATCGTGTTTACCGATGTGCGCGTTGTCCCTGGAATTCTTCAAGCTCTGTTTTTGCTTGAGAGAGAGAGGGAGAGAGAGAGAGACTCGTCTCTTTGAAAGTCCTGGGGCAAGTTTCACTTAACGTTCGCAACGATCGCGAACATCATGTCGTTTTTATTTAACATTCAGGAGAAACAAAGATAAAATGATCGTTGCGAGCGTTAAGTGGAAATTGCTCCTAAATAGAAACAGAGAAGCGCAACGGAAACAAGTTTTGATTGGCTGTCTGAATCACATGACCTAGGCGCTACTTCTACTTAGGAAATATCTCCAGAGAAATTAGCCCGATTCGAGAATTACCCGGTATAATTCGCGGTAATGAAATCTCAATATTTCAGCAATCAGGCTCCATCGTGGCTTTATATTAATCGGCATGAAAGCCTGATAAAATATCAGCGCCTCGCTTTAATTCAGCTCGCCTCGCTCGGGTCTTTCCGTGCGTGTCTTCTCCGGACGGGGATTTGGGGCTTATTTACCGTCGACAATCTCCGCACGTGGTTGCATTTCACGTGCAGGATACATTTCTAGAACTTCCTCTACCCACCTGCTTACTTACCTACGCGAAACGTGAATTTTTATCTTTCTGTCTTCGCGCGCGTTTTTCCTCCCTCTCTCTCTCTTTCCCTTTGTTTCCGCTATTCTTCTCTGTCCCTCTCTCGTCGCCGTATTACGCGAATTGCAGCTAATCCGATTACCGGACCGCAGAACTCGCCGGTTAATTAGATAAACGAGTAAATAACTGTAAAGGCTTATTCGCACGGCTATGATCGATATTTCTCCGAAGCGACCGCGCGATACGTACGCGTCGCAGGTCGTTCAAATCGTTGAGCCATTTCTTTCGGAATTTAGAAGGAAAGCACCAAAACTGACATAGATATGATAAACCGACATACCCATGTTTCTCGGCGATAAAGTAGTGAATTCTGTCGGACAGTACATGAACTTCGTCTACTATATACAGGGTGTCGTATTAACATACGACCGAATATACGACGGGTTGCCTGCCGAAAGGCGCGCGTGTCCACATGGCAATTTCGGATTTGTCGATATAGTCACTCGTATACCTTTCTTTTTTATTATGATAATTTTTATCTATGATAAAGGTATTGTCTATGATAAAGGTTGTAAAGTATTTGTCTTGCAAGAAAGAAGAAACATTTCGCGACTCCATTCGCCGGCGACCCATCGAACGATAAGCGTGGGATTAATCAGAGACTCCTCCGCTACGCAGGACAATTGGCCCACGGGCGTAACCGAGGACGAGTACGACGCGAGAAACGAATCGAAGTGCGAGGTTGTTTGCTGCAGCCCGGAAAGACTGATTCGTTGTCAGGAGTACCGGATACACGCTCCGTCTTGCCGCCGCTCGTCGCGGGCGAGATGCGCGCCGGAGGTCGAAGCTTGCCGGGCACGCTTGAGCTGCGGCCTCATCGATCCCGAGCGTATCGGTGCGTAATCTTTCTCTCCGAGAGAGCCAGCTGTCTCTCTCTATCTAGCCACTTTGCCAGCAGCCTTCTTCCTTTCAGAAAGAAAGAAGCGACTGATGGATAGCCCCTCGTGTCTCGAAGTGGTCGTCTTCTCATGCAAGCCACCGAAACTCTCCTCTCCTCTCTATTTATCTCTCTCTTCCTCTCTCTCTCTCTCTCTTTCCCTCTTTCTCTTTTCCCCTCTCTCTATCTATCTATCTATCTCTTTCTTTCTCCAATAATTCTCGGCGGCGCACGGCATCTGACCTAATAAAGTTTCGTGGTTTATCAATGCGCGCGGAATCGAGTCGCTTGGCGTATCAGATTTACTCCGTCTCGCCCTCCTACCCCCTTGCCATCTGGGGGGAAGCTTTGTGTGGCCGCGAAAGATGCCGAGTAGCGTGAGAGTGCAAAACTGCCACGAGCATTGTTGCTGCGGCCGCTGCTAACGGCTTCGATCGAAGCGAGAGACTTCGATTGGCTCGCCGCCGCCGTCAGGGTGGCCGAGGCAGCCGAAGAAGAGCTGATGGAAGCGCCGTGCTTGGCGATTTAACCCATTTCAATTTATCGCTATTAATTAATTGTCCTATTAGATTGTAAAAGACTATTCGTAAATCAAATGACTAGACTCTGGCGTGGATCATGTCTCCTCAAGCAGTGAACTACTCGAAAATAGCGCTGCTACTCTGGCCGAAATTGTCTCGTCGCGCGTCTAACGTTCGACGAGGAGCTACTTTTTGGATTTCTCGAAGTGAAGTTCCACTCGGGGAGGGCAGAGTGGCTGCGCCGAGTCACTCGAACTCGAGCGATTTTTCACTCGTACGAAGTGAATCCTCCGTTCTTAGAATCGTCGAGTGAATATTCTCATTCGAGACTCTGAAGAGTGAATCGGACGTGCCCCGCCGTCACATGAGCAGATTCGCTGTAATCGATTGAGACGTTCACTCGTATGAAGCGGGTAACTTCATGCTCAGGTTGGGTGAAACTGCCCTTCACTCTTCTCACTGGCTTTCGAGTGGCGGTACTTTCAGTATCATTTCGTATGAATTTCCCCTCGGCTTACAGGTGGGATTTCACTTGAAGAATGTAAAGAGTACGTCAGGGTAATTAGAACCGATAATATGTAAAATCGACTGATGATAGTCTCTTCTTTCATAGTTTCGTCGCTCGTAAAAATATCATAGATATCACAGATACGGCACAAACAGCAAAAAATAAGTGTGCCAAGGGAGATTTAATATTCCGCTTAGTCCCGTTTTCCGTTGTCGTTCCGAACGTTTAATTCCTTCCGACGCCTATCAGAGAATTTGTTCGAAAATCGGGAAAAATTGCGAATGCAGGTGGGACGCAGTCGAAGCTACCGTGCGCGGCCTGCTCGCCCGTCATCGCGAGATCGCGACGCGCGGACGATGATTTCGGCACAGAGACGAGATCGAGCTGTGACAGGCTAAACTCCACCTGGGACAACTGTAACGGGTCGAGCACTCGTCTGTACTCCTTGGAGGACACTTCGGACATACAGAGCAACGATTGCAGCTCGAATAGGCAGAGCGACGCGCCGGACACACCGATGTGCCTCTGCGACGAGCTGGCGATCGCATCGAAGGACCGTGTCGGCGATCACGTAAGTAAACGTAAATACACGTAATACCGCTGTGCGGGCGGAACTCATAGTCCGATCTTATATTTAAAATCGTCTCAAGTTCATCTTCAGATGTTAGAAGGGCCGCTCCATTGGCAATATTAATTAATTGAATAGTTTGTTTTCCTCCATTTATCGTTCTGTCTTCGTTCAGTAAGTGGGTTCAGATTTAACGCATCTTTTGTGCGTAACAACTGCAGAAGAAGCGTTAGATCTTGATTGGGATCCCAAGTATTTCTTCGGTTACTAAAACGGAGGTTAATATAGCTGTCTAATGACTGTTCAAAAAATGCATGAAACTCCTACCAGGAAGGTATGAATGAAGTTGCAAGGAAATCTTAAATACTAATAAAAGAGATGATCTTTCTTTTAATTTTCCGAAGGTGTGTCTATATCGATAGACCGTGGCTCAAACGTTTAATATAGACGTGGAGGAAAAAATATTTGCCGTCGCGCACATGCGGCGCTGGTCTCTCGTGAGACGCTGTCAGCGAACGTGTGGTTAATTTAAAATCTCCCGGGCTATGAATACCGCTCACTCTCGTTCTTTCTCTCTCGGGCGGAGGAATTCGTGTCGGAAACCCGGGATACGGGATGTGACTCTTTGCTGAGGTGTTTCACGTGTACCTCGCAATTACACGCGTGGGTGTGCGCCTATGCACCGGGTAAAACCTCGATTCAGAGAACCGGCGCAACCGGATTATAACTGCACATATACAACGTGTGCGGGTAATACCCATCTAACCCGTCTATCTATGCGCGCTTCCTTGACGGTCGGCCTCGGCGCGCTGAATCGCGAGGGCTCCGGGCTCCGATAATCCGAATTACCGTGGCACATTCAAGCGGAATAAATTAACCGCGTTTGTGCAGAACCGAGGCACCGCCATCAACGAAGTGGCATCTATCCTCGAGGGCTTCCGGAACGATCCCGAAAAGGCGCTTTTGGAGGAGGAGGATCGATTCTACGACTGCAGGTCCTCTCACGATCAATTAACCAGGCTAGCTCTAGCTATAGAGACGGACGCGGAGGAGGCACCGGCGATCCTCGGCGATCCGAATAATTGGCTACGCCAACTACGCGATAAGATAGAACGGCTGCAGCACGGCCACAAAGAGATCCGCGGTGACATACGCGCTTTACGCGGGGACTTTCAAGTAAGTATTCCCCTCTTTCTCTTCCCTGTCCCCCTTCTCTCTCTCTCTCTCTCTCTCTCTCTCTCGAACCTCTTTGAGTCCCTCTTATCGCATCTATCGTCGTCTTATTTGCGCGGGATTATAATTCCAATGCGAAAATCCATCATCGAGTGTATGTGGACTTCGTGCCGCGCTTTCGTTTCTTCGCATTTCGACTTCTCGGAAAGAACGTTGCGAAAAGCTCGCTTGCAAAAGAATAAGAATAACAATTATTTATTAACGGGAGGACTCTTTAGTTACCTAATTTAGTAGAAATGTAATAGTTCGGGAAAATGGAAATATAAAGAGTATAAATATAATGGAATTATTTACAGGATGTCCGACACAAGTGATGCCAACCGTCACATACTTGTAGTTTGGGTCGGTGTGAACTAAAAAGTCCTCTGCAAGTTTTGCAAACGATGCCCAAAATTTCGAGTTATTAATTATGGAAAGTGACCATATATAAAGATTTTTACATTATCATTATATGATACATTAACAATTAAAATACTTGCGTGTATTTTCATGCAATAATCTATGAAGAAAAATTCTTTTATAAATAACTAGACAAGATACATCCCAGTTTTCAAAAAAAGTCAGACGTGAAAAAGTTAAATATAGATTGGAAAGAAACATAAGTAACTTCAAAAGCGAGATTTTACTAAGCATGAGTACAAATACGAGTAGAATAAATGAATAAGATAAAAGCTGGCGAAAACGCGGTAGCTGCCATAATTCACCTTCGATCGATGCGTGCACAAAGTGTGAAGTTCCTCCCTTCGATGACTCGTGAAATCGTTTGGATTTCCTCGGAAATTTTTCAACTCACCGGTCGATTAGTCCGGTCGCTCTCTTCGATTAAACACGCTTCGACTGCCGTTCCTAATTAAATATCAAACTGAAATTCTGCCGAAATGTAGTCCGCTGACGCGCGAACGAGGATCCGATCTCCATTTACATCCCGTCGGTGCCATTCCGCTTCCATCGCCGTTCCAGTTCACCGCCATGCGACCTTCATCTCCCCTTTTCGTGAATTTCACATTGGCAGCGCGACGAGAGGAAAATTGGCGACGTGTCGGGCAACACGGCGAGACTGCGAGGCGAGATCCGCGAACTGCGGTATCTCGACGACCTGCTGACGCTCATACAGGGGGAGCTCGCGAGGATATCCAGGAGAAGTTGGCCATTCATCCTGGGGAATAACGAACCGCGCGAAGAAATCAATTTAATCGTCTGATCGTGAGCACGAGGACGAACGAACGAACGAATCGTCGGTACGAGTCTCGTGAATAGCCGATGCGAAGGATACAAGGTGGCGTGATAACAGGCAGATAACAGGGCTGAGAAACTCATTCAGTTGACTCCAACAAAACTCTTGTCTGGATATGGCTAAACAAATGTCAATTGTGAGAATCGAAATTCCATTCGGTTGTCTAAAACGGAAATGAAAAAAAATTGGCTCAGTGAACCAATATTTGGTCCTCGCAACTCTAAAGCGTTTGCTCGTATCCAAACAAGAATTTTGTCTGAATCAACTAAATGGGTTCGATGCGCGACTCCGCATCCGTCCGAGAGAGGAGCCGCGCCGAGACGGGCCATCGGTGTTACATCGTGTCACTGTGAATGGAGATATTGGCTGATAATGTATTTTATTACTAAACAATTTATTATTTATACGTCGCATATATTTGGATCCATGTACACACAGCACCGAGTAAAAAATTCCTAATACGATACATTCGTGTCTACATTCACTTTTCTTGCGCTCTCCCTCCTTCTCTCTCTCTCTCTCTTTCTCTCTCACACACTCTCACACTGTTTTTTGCCGCTCATTGTACAAGTCCGTGAACTGTCAAGTATATCGCGCCAAACATTCACTCGCACTCCCTCTCCCTCTCTCTCTCTCTCTTTCCGTCCCTATCAAGCTAACAATGTAAATTAATCCACAAAATACTCTAAACGCACTTCGTACAGTCTACCCAATGCTCGACTAATACTGCCGCTCTCCGATTCTCCCGCATAGAACGCAAAAGCCTATAAAACCCGTCGCGCTTTATCTCCGGCGCGAGGTGCCGCTATATGTAAAAAAACAAGCCGAGAATCGACGCACCGCCGCTCGAACGAACCGCTGTCGTCATCGTCATCGTCGTCGTGGTCGCGGAATTAGGTGACGTCGGTGCGCTGCATGTGCCGGACGTGCTGCCGCGAGGAGTCGTGATAGGCGATCCCGGCGCGTAACATCTCGCCGTGCCGGAAGACGTCGTGCGACGCGGAGAAGGACGGCAAGGTGGGCAACGACGGTAAGAGGCAGCTCAGCATGCTCGCGCCGCCGTCCGACGAGTAGATCCCGTTGCTGGGAGGCACCATGGACGTGCCGCACGTGGTCGAGGCCGATCCCGACAGAACGTGCCCATTCTGATCGCCGGAGCTCAGCAAGCTCGAGCTCGGGGCCATCAGGTTTCCTACGGACATGGAAGACGTGAAGTGGGTCGGCCAACGTCGCCGAAGTACATGCGAGGTGCTCGGGGCTATCGTCGCGGATACTCTACTCTCTACTCTCTCTCTCTCTCTCATAATTTCTCGGAGTGAAATCTCGCTCAGAATGGGTGAAAATTCACTCGAAGCGATAAGACAGTTCTGCAAAATTTTGCTTTTTCCTTACAGTCTCTGGAAGTACACGGAGAAAATATTATGACAAAAATTGTGCCACAAATTTTTGTAATATTAGACCATACCGGAATTATAACTGACATTATGATATGTGTTGTGATCTCTATGTATTTCGTTGTACACATTACTCAAACTTACAACGCATAATAATAATACGTAATAATTTTAGACGTAATCCCGGTATGGTACAGTGTTACAAAATTTGGTGGCAATTTTCGCTACAATATTTTCTCCATGTAGTTCCTACAGTTTCTTGTACGCCGAATCCAAATCCGTGAGAAAAAATACTGTATCATGTCAAGTTTATGAGAAAAATGTGATTGAAACAATCTAAAAGAGCGTTTTGACTACTTTTGACACAAGTCGCACAAAGCATCAAATAGAACGGTGTGATATTATGGTGTGACATGCTACAATTTTATATTTGTAAAAATTTTACAATGTATGCAACTTGCATAATTTTCTTCTCACAAGAGAATTACAAAATTAGTTTTTTGGAAAATCGTCATTTTTCAAAAATTACTTACATAATAATTATTTAAGCAGATGAAAAAACAATTTTATTACAAAAAAACACCTTCAGTCCAATATATCAAATGCAGAGACTTGTGTAATTTATATATATATATATATATATATATANTTTATATTCATTTATTTATAACATGTACAGGAAAATTTCCCTTTTCATATAAAAAAATAAAAATAATAATATAGTAGATATACAGATATCAGATATACAATAGATATACAGTAATACTTGTAGAAACGAGAAAGACAAGAAAAAAGAATTTATATTTCTATAAACGGGGAACTTATATATAATTTGTCTCTGAGTATACTTTAAGACATATTAAAAAAATGGATACAATCAAAAAAATGTATTAGCCTTAATATGCTCAGTCGATTGTATTATAATGAATGAACAACGTTTATTATTATCCTGGGGTGTACTCTCTCAGGGCGTATAAAAACTATTACAAAAGTTGAGCCAAATTTTGCAGCAAGATGCAAATACAGAATGATCATAGGAATTATGTCTAAAATAAATGGTTACTATTTCTCAACAAATAAGTCGAACAAAATAAATGAAACCCCATTTTGTAAAAGAGACCTGTGAAATTTGTTTACTATAAATATACGACGTGTTTTTTTTTTAAATAATTTAAATACACATTATTAAAAAAGAAGCAAAACCGTTCTTGCGCGCGTAATGATAGATATATAATTTATTTTTAAATAAGACCAAACTTTTTCATGTTCTAACTTTTTCGAAGAAGTTATTCCACTTTTATCCCGATAATGACAATTTCTGTCATTCGAAATCCTAAGAATGAACGTTTCACTTGAGCTTAGAGTGGATTCTGACTTCATACGCAAGTGAGGTTAATTAATAGTTGTTACTTGAAACTCGTGTCTCGAGTGAGATACTCAGACTTGAATTCAAAGTTGGATGTAGATTTCTCAGTTGAATCGCGATTACAGATATATAACGTCAGATATAATTCGACTGGATAGCTTGGGTCCAATTCCGGATTGAAATCTGAGTATCCCGCGCCAGATAAGTTTCAAGTGACAACTGTTGATGCAGGCTTGAATCTTTCAATCGATTAAAATGAATCTGTTCCTGCGGCAATGGAATGTTCTCACGGAGCATGTCAGATTCACTCCTCGATTTCTCGAATGAAAATATTCACTCGACGATTCTCAGAACGAAGAATTCGCTCTATTGAGCGAAGAATCACTGGAATTCAAATAACTGGGGCTGTCATGCTCACTTCCGAGAAATGAAATTCCACTCGAAGAAATTCAGAGAGTACCATCCAGTGATTTTTACTACCACGCGCGCAGCGCAGGGACGGCGGCGAGTGTCTCGCGATAAGCCCATTAGGGAGCAATTAAGGTCGTCGGCTAATTTCAGAAACGAAGTTCCTCGCTAACGAGGAGAGCCATCTCGGCTGTTTCCGTTGTGCTCTCCTGAGATATTTATTGTTACTGTCGTCTCGATATCGACTGGAAACGGAGCGTACGTATGTATATATTTGATAAGTGATATAAGAAGTATTGCCTGTCTCTCTCTTTGCGTGTTATTATATTATCGTTAGTGTCGTGAAACATGCGTGTTGACGTTGTCGCGACGATATTTCGGAAGCAAAGAAGCGGCACGTACGTCGTCGATCGACATTTTCCTACCTCTGCGAATAGAGGCGAGAAGCAATTTTCAGTGCGACTTGCCCTGTGCGTATGAAATTTCGAACGGTCCACGAGACGATAAACAGGAGATTTAATCCTCTTCCGATTGTCGATCGTTATAACGCGCGACAACAGAGTTCGACAGTTCCGAATTCCGCGCGTAGATTTTGGCGTCGCGACGAGTCGCGCCGCCTCGCGAAACACTGATAATCGCCGCGATGCAAAATTTATACGGCCGCGTTAACGCGCGAGGCTTGTAATTCACGCGAATGTACGCTCGCGGTGTAATCGCTTTAAAGCGATAACGCATTCGGCGCGTCCCGCTAATCCTTTGACAATATCGTGCGCATCGTGTAACGCATCGTAAAACGCGATATTAAAATTTCAACGCCGCTGTGTTGTTTAGCGCGGAGTCGCCGAAGGTGAGTATCGACAATTTGCGACAACGAGCTCGGCTCATTGGCCGGCGCGGATTATTTCACGCGCGCGCGATGTTTTTCCCATCGCGCGACAAATTTGCGGCAGAAATGTAAATAAAGAAGGAAATGTGAAAACGGTACTTTGTGACAATAACAAGACCGGAGTTGGGAGACGTGCGGACGCGTGCGCACGCGACTATGTAACTTTCGACTATGAACTTTTCGGAAGTAGTTTTTCTAAGTAAAATTCTTCGAGTAAAACTTGTTTTCAGGTAAAACTTTTCGAGTATAACTTTTTTCAAGTAAAACTTTCTGAGCAAAATGTTTGCCAGATAAAATTTTTGGGGCAAAACATTATTAATAAATAATTGTTAAATAAGTCTTTCGAATTAAATCTTATCAAGTAAAATTTTTTTCAAGTAAAACTCTCTTTCTCAAGTAAAAACTTTTCGGACAAAGCTTTTCTGAAGTAAAACTTTTCAAGTTTCTTTCAAATAGTCGGTATATCGGGTAAAAAGTTTCTTCGAATAAAACTTTTCGAGCAAAACTTTCTTCAAGCAAGACGTCTTCGGTTAAGCTCTCCGAGTAAAATATTTTTTAAGTAAAATTTTTTGAATACATTTCGAATAAAATTTTTTTAAACAAAATTTTCCGAGTAAGTCTTTTTTCAAGTAAAATTTCTCGAATAAACCTTCTCGACTAAAATTGTTTTCAAGTAAAACTTTCCGATTAAAATATTTTTCAAGTAAAATTTTTCACGTAGAATTTTTTTAAAGTAAAACTTTTTGCGCAAAACATTCTTGAAGTAAAACTTTTTTCAAATAAAGCTTTCCAAGCAAAACTTCGAGTAAGTATTTTCGACTTTTTTCAAATAAAATTTGTTGAGTAAAATTTTGTTCAAATTAAAACTATCTAAGTAAAACTTTTCGAGTAAACCTTCTCGATTAAGACGTTTTTTGCGTAAAACTTCTAGAGTGAAATTTTCCAAACATAATTTTTTTTTAATAAAACTCCGAACAACACATACTTAAAGTAGAATATTTTTTAAAAATAAAACTCTTCAAGCAAAACTTTTCTGAAGTAAAACTTCTTGATTAAAACTTTCCTCAACCAAATCTTTTCGAGCGAAACTTCTTCGAAATAAAACTTTCCGAGTAAACCTTCTCAGCTAAAACTTTTTTCGAATAAAACTTTTCGAGTAGAGCTTTATTGAGATCAAACTTTTCCAGTAAAACCTTCTCGAGTAAAGCAACGTTATCAGAAGCCTCGGGAGGCTCGGCTTTCACCTGGAAGACTGACGCTCGATGCGGAACTGACAGACGAGGTGATCGACAAGGGCGTCATCATAGGAAAGTCTGAGGCCTCGGAGGATCTCGCTAGGTGCGAGTCTATCCTGGGGGCGGGCCGGGCGCAAGCTAACGCCGACGACAGGCCGAAATCGCTGGCTCGGTCCGGTCGTCGGTGTCTCGAGTGATGCATGCCGGACTTGGTGCCGTTGCCCAGACCGAAGTGTAGCAGCTCTAAGTGTCGCCTGAGATTTCTCGATTGGCGCAGAATCGCGCCGCACAATGGACACGAGGCCGGCTGGTCGGACAGGCTGCGCGCCTTCGACAGTCCATCCCCTAGAACGAATTCCGTCATGGCAGGTAGAGACAGACCTGCTAACACTTGGCCGTCGATCCCGAACGCCGCCTCGCAATCTCACATTTTCTACATATCGTGCGCACTCCGTTCTGACAAATTCCGCGACTGGGGGAACGGAGGTATGGGGCAACCGTGTATACAATTGCGGGTTCGCTAGCGTCGTGGAGAACGTGAACGCGTCTGCAAATTCTTACATTCTTTATTTGCAAAAGGAAAGAAAGAAGAAACTGAGAGAAAAGAAAAAATGAGATGGACGATACATGATCATACGTTTAATCCTATTTCCTCCTCGACGAAGCCCTTTGTCGCTTTGTATACGCGCTATTGTCAACAGCCCACTGTGTACGCAGAGTCCGTCTTTATAAAATAGGAATGTGCGCCGGTTATCCTTTCGCTTTGCTCGTGGCTGTTTCGATTGTTTTCTCATTTAAAAAACGGAAGGTGTACTTAGAAACGACACCGCTTAGACACGTTAGTGGACCCGCCCCGGTTGCGGAGGAATCGAGCGTGGCAGTGACACGTCAACCTCGAGGGACGAAATTCGAATAGCGCACGCACGCACGCACGCACGCACGCACGCACGCACGCACGCACGCACGCACGCACGCACGCACGCACGCACGCACGCACGCACGCACGCACGCACGCACGCACGCACGCACGCACGCACGCACGCACGCACGCACGCACGCACGCACGCACGCACGCACGCACGCACGCACGCACGCACGCACGCACGCACGCACGCACGCACGCACGCACGCACGCACGCACGCACGCACGCACGCACGCACGCACGCACGCACGCACGCACGCACGCACGCACGCACGCACGCACGCACGCACGCACGCACGCACGCACGCACGCACGCACGCACGCACGCACGCACGCACGCACGCACGCACGCACGCACGCACGCACGCACGCACGCACGCACGCACGCACGCACGCACGCACGCACGCACGCACGCACGCACGCACGCACGCACGCACGCACGCACGCACGCACGCACGCACGCACGCACGCACGCACGCACGCACGCACGCACGCACGCACGCACGCACGCACGCACGCACGCACGCACGCACGCACGCACGCACGCACGCACGCACGCACGCACGCACGCACGCACGCACGCACGCACGCACGCACGCACGCACGCACGCACACACACACACACACACACACACACACGCGCAAGTTGTCCACACACTGAGATTCGTCTAAAAATCTGACAGTAAAAGAATATCGAGCAGGTCGCGCACTTCTCTCCCCTCCTCTCTCTCTCTCTCTCTCTCTTTCTCTCTCTTGCTCTCTCGCTCGCCGGTGCTGTTCTCAGAATTGCGCTGTGATTATTCCTATACTATTGGCTTACACTCTAACGTGAGAGATTCGTGTATGTTGAACGTAACAGGTCTCCGCGAGGATCTCGAATTTAGTCTAATGTTAAATAACGAGTGCGATCGCTCGGTGTAACCGAACAAAATAATTATACAAGCGAGATGTCCGTCGATGATCCCTCACCGTCTTCATCATCCACTTTCCTCGTTCGCTTCCCTTGGAGCGAAGCACGGAAGCACACACACATGCACACAATTATCTCTCATGTAAGTACACGTGAGGAGTCGCATACGTCGAGTTCGGGTGTAATTATATAAGAATTCATTCTGTGCACTTCCGTAATTCGCTCCAAAGAGAACGATCGGAGAAAATGGAGCAGAGGTTGGTGAAGAATCATCGATGGACGTGTCGCTTGTGCAGTGCAGTCCCTCGTTCGGTTACACCAGGCACCTCATATTCGTCATTTGACATCTGACGAACTCGGGACATTCGCGAAAACTATGTTCAACGTACACAAGTCTTACACACACGTTAATATTGGAATTAACCTCTTCAGAAATTTGTTAAAATCAAGAGAAAATGATTTGATCTTTTTCAGTGACAGATGAAATCTGTTAATACATTCTGCGCGAAATCAATTTTAAATAGCTCATCATGTTGCGTGGCGTCACGGGTGACCCATGCCGTATTATGAATTACATGTTGTTAGACTATAACATGTGTTATAATAATTCAAAGTATCTAAGTGTTGCATGATTATTCCATTTTAAAACTAAAATCTCAGCCCAAACAAAAAGTTCAGCGCGGGCCACCGGCAACTTACGAAACATGTTAATCGTACTTAATTGTACTAAGGTGTCATTATGGACTCATGTTTTTATCGTGCTTTTCTTTATATTTTTAATCAAATATCTGGGTGAACATTTGCGATTATTCCTTCGCATAATTCTATTCTATAGATTTAAAAATACATACGTGATTTTTGATAGATTTCTGTTAGCACTTTTGCAAACTTTAAATAAGTGAGGACACAAGTAACCCCAGTACCAAATTAAGGTGCCAAAAAGCTGTCAAATTAGGATTAACCATATGACGAGATCTCATATGAAACAGCCTTTCTTTAAAAAAAAAAAAAAAAATATATATATATATATATATTAATCAATTGTACTTAACCTCTCGATATGCTTTTCCTTCCCTTCTCTTTAGATTTCACTTGTAAATATTTCTTTTCTCTCTGCGTTCCCGTAATGTATGCATTTATATCTTTTTTTGCTTCTTTATCTTGCTTTCCATTACGTAAGGGTTAATCTCCCGTTAAAAAAATTAATAATAATACTAACAGTAACCTCTCTTTTTCCTGTCATGCCTCGTGATTAGTGTTTACTCACAACAATGTTTGTTACGTTTTGTCGACAATGTGCGAATGAAAAAAGTAAAATACCCAAACACATGTTTGTGATCATTCCTGAAGAGGTCAATCACAGAAAGACTTCGCGAATAGTCTCGGGCTTTCCCCTACCGATTCGCACGGCGGGCGCTACTCGAATTTCCCGGCGCATCGTCGCCACCTCGAGTCCTTTCCGCACCGGTGCGGCATTGCACAACTGTACCGCACAAGCGAGATGTCCGTCGACGATCCTTCACCGTCCTCACGTCCACCCTCCCGATTCTCGCTCGGAGCGAGCGACGGAAGCACACAGCACGAACTCTCACGTAAGTACACGCGGACAGGAAGACGAATATTCGCGACGCCGAGTTCGGAGTCCGCAGATGAGCGCCATCGTCGTCGGCTGTCACTGAGGCGGAAACTATCGTGAGAAATCCCTTTTCCCAGGCAACGATGCGGATGACGAACGACGACGCGTTCCCGCGCGTGCTCGTCGTCCCCGACGAGTTCTCCTCCCTCCCCTCCTGTACAATTTATCTCGCGATTGTCGGGGATGGGATGCTCCTGTGCGGCGACACCGCGTCCCGCGTGCGGTGCGTCGGCGAGAGTAGGCTGGGCTTGCAGACTATCTGCTCGCAGCTGTGGTTGCTACCGCCGCTGTCGGCGCTGCCGCGGGTCCCCTCCTGGTCGTTGTAGCCGGGCAGTTCGACCTCGGGCTTAACCTCCATCATCATCGAGTCGCTGCCGAGGTTCTGCGTCACCGTGTTGTTGCCGAAGCGGTACTTGCACGACGACAGCAGATGCCTGCGCAGATTCCTCGCCTGACGGAGCGTCGCCCCGCACAACGGGCATATACCCGGACAGTCGGAGGCGCCGCGTGTTTTGCCGGTTAACGCACAAGTCGAGCCCGCTTGGCCGAGCGACAACCCGGGGGAATAGCCCATGTTCATAGAGCCGGGGAACTGTGGTATGTGCAATGGCGAGTACCCCGATATCGGCATCACCGAGTGCGACTCGCCGTCCGACGCGTGATCCTGATGTGCCGCCGCCGCCGTCCGGTGATTGTCCACGACGGAGGACTCTTGCATACGCGATGAGTGGCTCCTGCCCTGATGGTTGTTCGCGTACCCCAGGCAGTTGCCCGCTGTTAACAGACACAAACACAATGTTACCATGCGGGGCTGAACTGACACGTTACGTTTGGCACGGATTTGAATTTATCTTCTCTCCCGCGCTCCCGCTCTCGCTCGTTCTCTCTCTCCCTCTCTCTCTCTCTCTCTCCCTCTCTCTCTCTCTCTTTCTATCTCTATCTATCTATCTGTCTGTCTGTCTGTCGGTCTGTCTGTCTCTCGCTCGCTCAGTCAGACGAATCGGACGACCAATCAGAATTGCAGTTCAACCCGATCGATGGTTGTGCTTGTGTCCGTTTAATTGAAACGAGAAAAAAACGGCCTACGCGGCCGGTGCGGAAGTCTCTCTCTCTCTCTCTCTCTCTTCCTCTCTCTATCTTTCCCTTTCTTCCTCTCTCTCTACCGCTCCTTCTCTTTCTCTCTCTCTCCACTTCTCCCTCTCTCTCTCTTTCTCTCTCTCTCTCTCTTCCACTCCCTCCCTTTCTCTCTCTCTACCTCTCCCTCTCTTTCTGTCTCTCCCTCTCTCCCCCTTTCGCTCGACCTTCCTCTCCGTCTCTCGCGCTCTCACCCCCTCTCTCTCTCTCTCTCTCGTCCTCTCTCACACTCTCTCTTTCTCTCTCACGCTATACCGTAGACGGCGTCTGGCATAATTTTACGACGACGGAACGTAATACGCATCGGACACAAAACACAAGTAGAATCGCCGTTACAGCTTGGTTGTAACTTACGTGCTTACCTTAACTACAAACTTTCTATTGATTAAAAACACAAAACTCGGAAATTGCGATAAAAAAAAATCAAGAAATCTCGTCTGACGAAATCAGACCGCTGAAAGAAGCGGACAAATATCCGCAACGTGGTGTCTCGCGCTAAAATATTCCGACGTTCCACTTAGTACCTCTCTCCCTCTCTCTCTTGAGATACAAAATGAAATTCGCAAGATCACAGGATATATTTGCATACTATTCGCATTACCTGTATCGTCAGTTTGATCCGTAGTGTCGTCGTCCTTATTCTCGTAAGGCATTGTTCGGTTGTTGTCGTGTCCGTCTATAGGCCTGCTCTCGCTGTCGGTGGTGTTACTGGTGCAGGCCCATTTTCCGGAAGACGTGGACGACTTCCTCCTCTTTTTCCTCCGCTTGAGCGGGTAATACGAATTAAGGGTCGCTCTCGACACGCTATCGTTCACCGCCGGTATCGCCGACGCGGGGATCTCCTCTCCGCTCTAGATGTGTACATGCAATTGTTAGTTCGCGCGAAACCGGGACCACGCCTCGGCGTATAAGCAAGTAAAGCGCTCGAGAATGGTTTTTTGGGTTAGTTGACGTGACCAAAGGTGTATCAGACATCACGTCGACATGGCGCGATCACAGACGATCGTCTCGTTCTCTCATGCACCTGCGACACACGCTGAGGACGTACCTCCGTTAGAATGGTCGGCGGTGTCAGACCATGGATACACAGGCAGTGAGCAGCTTGGAGCAGCGAAGGCAACTGCGACGGCTCCACGCTCACTTCCCCCCGGTATACAAATTCTAACAGAGACTCCAGGTCGTTGGCTGTGATTCCGGCCAGCATGACCACCGGGTGCTGGCATGGTGTGCTCTGTGGACAAAACGCTCGGTTGTAGACAGGGTGCAGTTCGCGCCGGCAACCGCGCAGCAAAACAAAAGCAACCTTCAGCAGGTCCAGCAGAAAGGGACTGGCGGCGCAGAGGACAATTTTGTGCGCGGGGAAGCTGCGGCCACCGGCAGCCAGAGTGACGTCCACCAAATCGCCGTCTCCTCTGAGGAGCTGCACCGCGGAGGCCAACGAGGAACTGAACTCTCCCCACGAGAGACTGTACAGCTGGCTGCTGCTACCCATTCCGTATCAGAGACTTGAACTGCAAGAACGCGAGACAACACGCATGATAACCATTACGCTCGATGCACGAATCCGCCGCAGAAGCCAACGCGAAGCACGCATGCACCGGTAGTCCGCTAAATAACGGTAACGATGCGCTCGCCGTCTCCCCATCCACGTTCCCTAATTAGTGCCCCCACCCGAGCGAAGCGCGATCAAACGATACACGGCGTCGTGGCGTCGCACAGGTTAACCTAACAATCTCGGGGTCCCTCTACCTGCGATGGCTTCTGATGATGATGATGACGTCGCCGACGACGGCGACGACCGCTGGCGCCGACCGCAACGTCGACGTCGGCGGCGACGATGACAAAGAGGAGACGACGGTTCTTGCCGTCCGTCCGTCTGTCCGTCCGTCTGGCTGGCTGACTCGCTGGCTGAATGGCGCTCGCTCGACGTCTGCGTTCGGGAAATTAGGTTGGAGAAAGTCGCAAGAGCGCGCGGGGTCACCTAGGCATAAGTCGCGCGCGAGTCAGGCTCGAGTGGCTGCGAGCTACCGCTCCGCGGTGGCGACGACGACGACCGCGGCGTACCGCACGCGGGACGCACCACTTCCTCGGGAGACGCGGACGGACGCGGCACCGCGATGCTTCGCTTCGAGCTGCGGCGCGGCACGCTTCGCGGAAGTATGTAAGATTCAAATCCTCTGTGTCGGAGAGGATCTCGTGTGCGTACGTGTGTGCGTATGTACCGTAAACTGCGACTGACGTGTGCACGTATGTGCACGAGGCGACGCGACGCGCAGCACCGCCGCCGTCCTACGGATGGGGAGAGAGAGAAAGAGCGAATGGCGGCCGGAAGCCGCCGGGGAGCCGCGGGAAACGTTTGAAGGAAGCCTCCGGGCAGCGTTCGGGATGCGTTTCCTTTTTTTGCTTTTGAAAGAGAGAGAGGTAACAAAATTGCTCTCCGCAAAACCACGCTGAATATTCCTACATTTTTTAAACGGAATTTCTCGAGAATTTTAGAAGAACGGAAACTTTTTACTTTTTATTGATTTATTTCGATGATTACACGGGGGGGAAATGTCTCATATATAATTATATGTAGAATGTCTATATATATTTTTTATATAAATATATAATTATATATGATTATATATAATTATATATTTTTATATGTATGGGCGTCTTATATATTTATGTAATTATACATGAAAAATTTTTTCCCAGCTAATTCCTCATAATAATTAGTCCTCAAAAATCCTCCAAAAATTGAATTTCTTAGAGTAATTTGCATTATATTCAGCTTTAATTTTTAAGAAATGAACATTTTGAAAATTGGAATTAAATAATTAATTTATTTAGCTATATATAATCCCACAAGTAGCTTGGAAATAAGCTTTTTGAGATAGAAGAAGTGAACAAACAAAAGTTCTCATTATAAGATTGTAATACTTAATGCAATTTTTTTCTTTCTGCAGATGAATGTACTTAGAGAAAAGAAGCAACGCGTTCGAATTCGTTTGTAAGCAACGTATGAAATTCAATATTAATCTTAGTTCGACACTCACATGGATCGATTTGACTCAAACAAAAAATGGAGATCCTATGGCTATTAAATCTTGAATTATTACATATATTCATAACATAGAATTCATTTCTTGAAGCATGCGAAATATTTTATTTCTCTTTCTGTGTAGAATCAATACATATCTTCTGTTATATCTCTTTCTCTCTTTAAAATTATCTATTTTAAAAATAACGATTACATGAAAAATTTTTCAAATTTATCTTTTGTACACTCAAAATTATAATATCTGCATACCACAAGCACATGTTTAATATACATAGATATTTAAGTAAAGTTATATACCAGAAGAGTTATTGAGTTTTACAGACCTAGTATGCGCGCCAAAGCAAGCAGCAAAAAGTAAACGTGCCAACAAAAAATTGACACTCGCGCGACCGCAAAACCTAATATATATCCAACGATTAAAATCCATCGCTTGATTCTGATAAACTAATACACGCTAGTATGAAAAAAAGGAAACATTTACCATCAGGTCACATTGCGGGGCAATACTTAAACAATAATATCTGAGATCACATTATTGTACGGCGCATTATTGTACGAGAGATCGACGAAGTCGGGACTGTTTTCAACATGTCTAAGGATTATAATATTCCGTTGAACATAAATAAGTATAAATATCATAAATCAACCGTCCCCGCGTGAGAATATGATACAAGCAATAATATAAAGAAAAATGCGTCGCTATTAGTTAAATTTAATTAATACGAACGAAACGAGTTTGTTAAGTCTCCAAGCGGAAGCAATGTTAACGTCAGAATCGTACAATAACACCAGGAAGACCGTGGAAGTGGAGGTGATCAAGACAATACAAAAACAAGGTAAGAACTTTCTTATTAATTAAGAAAAAATTCTAGTAATTTTTAAAAAATTGTGCGAGAGAACAAGAGAGAGAGAGAGAAAGAGACATGCGTTTTGCATTCATTATACATATATTTCATTAAAATTTATAAAATTTCACAGAGCTAGTCACACGCTATTTGTTTCTTTCTTTTTTTATTTTTAAATAATCAATTCACGCAAAGATATTCTCTCGAAGGTTACAACCTGAACACCGTGAACAGTTACGGTGAGAATCTGCTGCACGTGAGCGCAGCGAACGGCTGCTACGAGATCACGAAGACGATTCTAGACCGAGAGAAGAGCCGTCGCGCCGTGGACAGGAAGAATAAATTCGGTTGGACTCCGTTGATGCAGGCGATTCGCAACGGTGATATCGATACCGTGAAGTTGCTTTTGGAGAAGAAGTCCAACGTCGACGAGTCAACGTACCTTGGTAATAAATGGTCCAGTCGACAAAAGCTTTGGAAAAATGTCTTAAAACGCTCAGAAGGACGTCTAAAAAAATAGGGCGTCTTTTAGACGTCCTTAAGAGATATCTTTAAAAATTCTTAAGATGTCTTTTAGAAGTTCCTGTTACTCGGGAATCAACGACGCAACGTCGTCGTTGCTTCGAAACGGACCGCCTAGATCTGTTTTCTTTTCTTTCTTCTCTTTCTGTTCTCACCTTTCTTCTCGATTCGATCAAACAGGTATGTCGGTCCTCGGGCTTGCCGCCGCGATCAGCAGGAGGATGTTCGAAACGGTGTATGACGCGTGTCCGACAGCGCTGGCGAACACAGCCAACGACGACATCAGTCCATTGTGCGTGGCCGCCATGAAGAACGACAAAGAACTGTTCTTCAAGTTGTTGGAATTGGGCGCGTCGCTTTCCGATGCCAGTAGGACGTTTTTTTTTTTTCTTTCTCGCACTATCGAACATTCGCGAAATGAACGGCTGAATGTCGATTCAGTTCGATGGAATTGCCCTTCAAATTTCTCGGAGCAAATCGTTCGAAACAAGCGAAAGTTCACTCGAAGCGACGATGAAAATACCGTCATTCGGAATCACAAAAGTGAATGTTTAACTCGAGTTTAAAATAAATTCTGAATTTATTTCTTGAAACTTTAAAATTCTCGCTCTAAACGAAAGAACGTTTCAATTTCCAGGTAGCAGAAACTTCTAGAAGAGATATCTTAGATTGAATTAACGATAGGTGTAGTGAGTTTTTACCTTTTTGATCTAAATTTTAATGTGATTTCTAGCAAAAACGTTTTTAGCGCTAACAGACGTTGCGATTTCTAAGATTTAAGCATTTTTACGACTTTTGACATCACGGGAGTTCGCCTTTTGTTCGAAACTACGTTACGATTTTATTGCTTAGAGCAGAAAGCTAGAGGCTTACTACACCTATTATGATCCATGTTCAAGAACACTTAGAAGACTCTGAAAAAAGTAGGTCGTCCTTTAGTCCTTTCTCGAAAATATCTTTCAAAAGTTTCTGCTATCTAGGTCAGAGTAAATTTGCTCCTGTGAATCCAACAAATTCCATATATCGTACCGCTTTTCTTTCTGCATATAAAATCGGATTGTGAATACTGGTCTTAAAGACGGAAAACGCGAGAAATCGCGACTAAAAGGGGGGAAATCTATATATCGAGCGCAGATGAGTACACACACATCATGATGAGGAACTCGACGGTGCCGGAAATCGCGAGATTGGCGCGGGAACATTTGATCACAGAGGACTATTGGAATGATACGTCGGATAACATCCGAATGATGAGCGAACAGTACGGCGACGAGACCGCGGCGATTCGTAAGAACGGCAAGGAGAAGTCGCCGAAATCGCATGTCTTGTTCGCGGAGACGCGGAGCTTAGCGTCGCCCGCGTTGACGTACAACTGCAGTGGCGTTTTCGCGCCGTCGCCGATCGCGTGTTTCACAAAGATCGACCTCGAAGAGCGATCGAACGCGCCTTCGGAGGACGAGCGCGCAAATCACGAGGCGGTCGCGACGGACGGCTTCAAGACGAACGCGCGTCGGCAGGAGTCACCTCCGGTTACACTTCGAAGGTAGATCGTTAGCGCAAATTGACCCCTTCAGTTCGTATTTATATCACTATGTGTCTTATAGTTTTTTTTCAAAAAATTTCTAAAGTTAACGTACAAAAAGCGACGTTTCATATCGGTAATTTGTGCTGTGCGGGACAAGACCGTGAACATGACGAGCGACTTCATCGCAGATTGCAATCGGTACGACCGGCGGATCTCGAGATGGTGAATCACTCGGACGACCTGGATGTTACTCTCGGTTTCACTCCCGAATTCAGCCCGCTGAGGAGCCCCTACGTGCCGCCAGACATCAACGATGAGAACGTGTTCGGCGAAAACACCCCGACACCGCCGCGCTGCAAAACACCGCCGAAGGGAACGCTCTTGAATTCGCGACAGGCGAAGATGACTGTCGTATTGAGGCGCTCCGGTTTGGCCCGGCATATCCCCGTGTTTCTCGAACAGGAAGTAAGTGTGATTTCGACACTTCAGATTCTCATCTCGCGAAATTAAAACTGACAATAACGACGAGTCTGATCGTCGTTCTAATTAGCTTTGCGATAGGACTTAGCTTCGCATTCCGAACATTCACAGGCCGTAATTTTTCAATCGTAACTCGCCTCTCGTTTTCTCGTCCTAGGTGGACATAGACCTATTTCTAACGCTCACGAATGATGACTTAATAGAGATCGGTATCGAGCACGAGGAGGACAGATGTGCACTGCTGGAGACGATAAAGGAATGCAAAAGAAACATGAGTGAAAATTGTATTTAACGTTTGTACGATTACTGATTAACGCGATGATTTTCTTTCACTCTCGCGCTCTCGTAGATCAATAATTTATAACTGCTAATTTTACAATATTTAATATTCTTAACACTGTAATTTATTGGAGCATTTATTCGCTTTAAAAGTGAATGACGCTCCCTTTTCCTGTTAGAGGTAATTTTTTATATCGAATAAACCGCATTTTAAGGAACATGAGTAACAATAAACGAGACGATAATTTGCAAGGGAAGATCCTTGTGTAAATTCCATATTCTTATTCGTCACTTCTGGCTTTCAACAGTTTCTCCCTTAGGCTTAGCTTGTCGGGCTTCTCTTCCTCGACGGTCGGCCCCTTCTGTGGGACATCATTCTTGTTAGCAATCGTTTAAAAGTCGCATTATTAAAAGTAACCTATTAACAGTTGCATTATTTGCGTATAATGCGAGACTCACCGCGCAAGATCGTGCTTCCTCGTCTCCGAAGTAGCTTGATTCGCGTTCGTCCTTCGGCACGATCGTTTCGATTTCATCCGCATCATATGATAACGCAGACAGATCGCCGACGTTAATGCGTAGTTGAGATTTGCTCGTGAAGCAGGTTGATCCGAGATCGAAATCGTCGGATTCGGTCCCGCACGTGAATGAATCGCTGGTCCTCATCAACGACATTCGCATCCGTTTGATGGGAATATCGCACGTATCGGGTGTACGAAACGGTGATGTCGCCGTGCTATTGATGGTTCTCATTTTCGTGCCGTATCCTGAGTCATATCCTAAAAACCTGCCGGTCTTTGGTAACACCGGCGTGCGAAACTGCAGAGCCGCCCGGTACGTATTCTGCAAAAGAAGGGATACATATTCGATAACACTATCTTGCGAAGTTTGACCATTTTTTATTAACAAGTTCAAACAATCATTTCCGATGTGCTTTTGCACGCTGAACACGAATCCGTTGTCCAAATGTGGCTGTCATGTCACAATTTTGGAAAAAGTAACGTTAAAAACCGACGATTTTCATGGTTTTCGTGACGTAGCACCGACAGCAGATTTTTTTTCCAAATTTCGTCAGTGCCACACGAAAATATCAATTTTTTCCTATGACTCGCGCTCGATAAAAACGAAGAGGGGACGCGAAGTAATTCGATGTTCTCACTTCGGGACACACGTCCAATTGCTGGCCGCACAGGCTGGACACCCTGCCTCTTAGCTCGCCCGCGAATCTGTAAATTATGGCCACCAGATCCGTCGAAGGATGGAGAACGCTCAGGGGTCCCGAGACTAGGCACGTCTCAGGATATAGGTAGACTCTCGACTTGAAATAGAGGAACTCGATGTCGTAAAATAAGGATCCGTCCGCGTGATCCGGCAGTACGTAGCCGTGCTGGAATAAGGAAGAGCATTTCTCACCGTGATTTACGCGACGTTGCCGGACGACTAATGACTTCATCGGCGAGAAACGAATGGGATTGACGCGTAATTAATTTTTTATCACGCGATATACATAATTCCGGCGAATAAGCGTACCATGTCTTTCCAGTATGCACGCAGGTGTTCGTAATTTTTGAACGGGTGTCGCTCCTTGATTATCTTCGAGACGTCCGACACATTCGCCATTTTCATGCTGCGAACAATCGTTTTGCGGAATCAGTGAGTCAAAGAGTTTTGCCTGAGATGACAGCTGAGAGTAATTGATTTTCCCGCGCGAAAATATACTGCAGATTTTTCTTTCTGTAAAATGTACTATACATTTTCAGCGTACAGTTAATACGTTTCGGGATACACCCTTTGGGAATTCGCGACGATGGATAAAGAGTCGAGGAAGCTCGCGGTTTCTATTGGCTTACCTCGGTAAAACGCGCACCGGCGGCTGCATATCGTGCGACGGGGGACGCGTGGCGTTCAGTCTCACGAACGGTATCTTCAGATTTACGGCTTCCACCTGAAGCCGTGCGCTGTTACCTGTAATATTTTTGCACTACACTCATCCTCGTCACGACGTGGAGCAACGAGAGAGATGAAGGATTCGTTCATCGAGGGATCGCTGAAGCAGGTCCGCGTGCCGTATCGTAAAGACACACGCGAGTATTTCAGCGTGATTGTCAGTCAAATTTTTACCGTTGATTTCTTTGATGTTCAACGTTATCGCGTTGACGCTTCCCGCTGAGCTGAGGAAATGCTGTCCCTCGACGAGGTACAACCCGACCTTGTTCCACCGCGGCGCCAATTTGTACTCCACGGTGTGGAGGAAGCAAGCTTTATAAACGTAAGCTGGAATAGGGTCCAGTAGATCCATCTGTGTGTAAAGATTAGTTTACGATCAATTGGCGATCTGGACTGGACAAATTTCAGGTAGAACGTATGATGGCGGTGACGTTAAAATGACGAGAAAGTGACCGTAAAAACTCGCTCTTCGATCATTTCTTCACCATTCTGGTGTCATTCTGACGTCATTGTTATTGCCCAGTAAGCACAACGTCCAAAATCGATGCATAAGACGTCTTTAAAGCAACTTTAATACGCCTTAAGAACGCTTGTTAAACCCAGCGAGAAATGAATCATCGAGTCAGCATCAAATTGAGGTCAAAACAATCGAAAATATATCAAATCGACGTAAAATCGACGTCGGTTTGATATTTATTTCCCGTTAGAACCCAAACCAGAACAGATGACGTCAAAATGACGAGATAATCGAATCAGTCGAAAGGTAAGTTTTCATAGTGATTTGCTCATCATTTTGACGTCATCTTAACATCATCATGATTTTCTGCTGTGTCTGAGGAAGATGCGCCTTTAAGATGTTTTAAAACTATCTTAAAGACTATCTCATGCGTCGATTTTGGACATTGTGCTCACCCTGTGTACGTTCCGCCTGGAATTACTGGCGTTCGTATCACGCGCGAATTTCGCGCGCGATCAGCGGGATTCGAAAAGTCGCGGATTTCACGGGACACGCACCACCTGTACATTCAGCGCGTCGCAGTGATCCTGGAACGTATAGTTCTCGAAGAAGTCCTTCGTGACGATGACGTACATGGCACCCCCGGCCTCGAGTATTCTCCGGTTAGTCACCGGGGCGGTCATAGCCTGGGGAGTTTCTTGAAGAAATTGCCTGGAAACGCCGAGGAGGTGCGTGGAGAACGGAAGATGTTCAGAATAATAGGATAATGGGAATTCGTTCGGGATCTTCTTCGAGGAAACATAGGATTCCTCGGCGACGGAGGCTTACCGACACTTCAGCTTGTTCGAGCAGAACTCCGGGTAAACTAGGAACTCATTCTCGCGGTTCACGATCCTGCAGATCGCGCAGCGGAGATCTTTCTTCGCCGGCATGGTGATCTCGAATACTTTCACGTTCGAAGCCATAATTAACTGCCGAAGAAGCGCTTAAATGCAAATGAGAAAACAAAGCCTCGCCGCTTTTGTATTCCAATATGATATGGCGGGTTCTCGAATTCTTTATTCGAAAATGATCTCCAAGGTCGCTTGCGATTGGGCGAATTTCAAATATCTGCCCTCAGCCGCGCTGTGTTGCACTTTCTGCGCTTAAAATGGGAAAGTGGAGGCTCGCAGCGGAGATCTTCGGAACTAAAGATGTAACGGGTTTGACGACTTTTTGTACCCCTTATTGTTCCGCAAAAGTAAGAAGTGTAATTATCTTTAGCGAAGATAACAGTTACGATTGCCGGATTCGTTAGGTTTTTTTAGTTCCAAAGTCTTCATTGCGCATCTTCATTTTCCTTAACAAAGAATCGTGATACGACTCAACAATGATCAGACGGACCTTTAATTTTCGAGTAGCGCTACTCAACGGCGAATCAGTTTCTGCACCGGTGCAGTAAGAAGTTCAGCTGGAGACGCAAGCATTGTGTCATAAAATTGTACATTTAATATTTATTTGAACCATGTTAAAAATATTGAGGAACTCCATTCGTTCGGAAAGGAGCCGACAGAAATGCAAGGGGATCAATGAGTACAGTCAGCAGGTTCGGAATTTGCTTTGATATTTCATTCTAACCTTTAGCTATTCTGAGCCCCAAACATTGTCTTTTATCTATTTCTAAAGGGAAGTATAATTCCAAATTTAATTAGCTACGTCCCAATTAATTGCTCCAATTATATTGTCAGTTTTTGGGAGAATTGAATTCGTTGCGTTAGTACAACTTGTTAACAATGTTATTATCTTTACTAAATGTACTGGTTTGCATGCGACCCAAAAGATTCAGTATCGAAAGGTACTGTTTTCTGGAATTCAACCTACAGGCAGTGTACATGTAGGAAATTACTTTGGCGCCATTCAAAGGTGGATAGAGTTACAGAATTCCGGAAACCAGATGCTCTGCAGCATAGCGGATTTGCATTCGATCACTTTGCCGCAAGTAAAAATATAGGAAGTCACATCTCTGTATTCTAAGATCATCGCCCTAATATTGTCTACCAACAATATGTCACCTTTAGGATCCAAAGCAGTTGAGAGAAAATACTCTACTAATGGCTGCGACTTTAATAGCCTGTGGTATAGACATTAAGAGAAGCATTCTCTTTCAACAATCCAAAGTATCGATGCATGCAGAGCTCTGCTGGGTTCTGGCTAGCATCACAACCATGGCTAGGCTGGCGCACTTGCCGCAATTCAAGGAGAAGAGCGAATCCTTGAAGAATGTCCCTCTAGGCTTATATATTTATCCTGTCTTGCAAGCAGCTGACATATTGCTGTACAAGTAATTATCTCAATATTAAGTCTGCTTTCTGTTCCTCAATATTAAGTCTGCTTTCTGTACTGGAACTTCATTCCTTTCGCCTACGACACTGAGTTACTTGTTTCATTCTAAAAAGTAAGAAATGCAACATAGTTCAGAAACGGAAAGCAAACCTATTGAACATAAGACGATCGTTATCGTCAAAACGCGATATCAGCTGTATGAAGATTTCTTCCTCAGAGCGACGGATGTTCCAGTCGGACAAGACCAAGCCCAGCATGTGCAATTGGCACAGAATCTGGCGCGAATATTCAACAATCAGTTCGGACAGACTTTCCCGATACCACGCGTTTTAGTCAGCGGTAAAGTCTTTGAGAAATGTAGATTGCCAGTGAAAGCATATTAAAGTAAAATCGATCGCGTAAACTTAATTTTTTGTAAACTTCGACTAACGAGTCTTGGTATTCCCAGATGGCCCGAGTCAGAGGATCAAGTCTTTGCGTGATCCCGCGAAGAAGATGTCGAAGTCACATCAAGACTGCAAGAGTAGACTGAACATTCTGGATAATCCGGATATGCTGTTGGAGAAAGTGAAGAAATCTGTGACCGATTTCACTTCCGAGGTGACTTACGAGCCGGAAACGCGGCCGGGAGTATCCAACTTGATTAACATACATTCTCTGTTTACCGGAAAGACGCCGGACGAGATATGCAAGGAAGCCGCAGGATTGGACACGGGGAAGTTAGTATAAATGAAGATCGTTTTATTTAAGCGACACGTTAGAACATGTGACCGATTATTTCCGAAAACTTCCATAAATAAGCGACGAGGATCTTCAACTTATTTGGCCGCAACTAACCTGCATTTGAATACATTTAGGTATAAATTAGTCGTGGCGGATGTGGTCGTCGAGAAACTGACACCGATTCGCAACCAAGTATTGAGGTTGCTCAAGGAACCCGCCTATCTGGATGAGATCTTGAAGGAAGGCTCGGACAGGGCCGCTGACCTCGCTACGTGTTGTTGGACGGAAGTTACAGACAAAGTCTTCGGTAGCGATTCGATGCGGGATGTAAAGAGCGTAACAAGCACTGCGGATGCCCAGATGTAGCCGTTTATTGCAAATAGATATACTTTTCCAGAAAATAGACATTAATTTTGCCAACGCCGAATCGAACTTCTTATATCTACGTCTGTAAGGTTACAATAACGCTAAAAGCCTAATCGTCCCGCGCCGATTTCACGTCGATGACTAACTTGCCCCTCAAATGGCCCTGTTTCGCTCTCTCAAACGCCAGCGGCAAATCTTCGAAGGGATACACTTCTTGAATAACAGGCACTATCTGCAAAAATGCAAGATGTAAAATTGCAGAATTATCCGCGAAGCAAATTCGGAAATTCGTTGACACTGATAACCCACTCTCCCGCTTTCCACGAGCCCTTGTAGGACGTTCATTCCCGTCTGATCCGGCACGAAAAATCCCCACTTGACGCAGCCCTTGTTTTGCGCTATCGGGATATTGAGCCTCGCAATGTCGCCGAGATTCTGAATCGTTCCCATGATCAGCCCATATTGGTCGAAATTTCTCAACATCGGCGAGTTCAACGTTACATAAGTATCACACGGATATCCCTTCTTCCTGACCAGCTCAGGCCCCTGTTTGGCGCAATCCAAGATTATATCGTACCTGTCGTTCATAAAACGTGACGTGAATCTCACGAGGCAATGCAACTGCTTCATATTAATACAATCGACCTTGAGAAAAATCCTGGAGTCGTCCTGTTTTGCCATAAATTTTAATATTAACGTTAATATCATACTTGTTACTGATTGCGCAGAATTAAAAATCCTTTTGCGCAATTACGACACACACGTTAACGTGAACGAGGACGGTTGACTTTTTTCCGGTTTTTTCGAATCGAGTCAATCGTCCTCGCCTACTTTAACTCATACGTTGTAATTATGAAAAGGATTTAATTCTGTACAGCCAATAATGAGTATAGTACTAACAAATTTGTAGTGAAACAGGACGACTCCTAAAACAGGGTCCTCTTGATTCGACAGTAAAGTCACATACGGCCCCTCCGAGATAATTTGTCTGTCGGCATCGTCCTGCTTGTAATCGATGACGACGTCGGCGCCTAGACTCTGCAGGGTCTCCACAGCGTCACCGCTGCAGGTGCTAATCACCTAAAGAAATCTCATGCTTCATACGTCACAGATTGTCGCGTGAGACGTACGCTTAGATATATACATGTGTGTTCCAAGCTTTCAGAAGTTGTATAGCTATGGTCCCAACTCCTCCCGAACCTCCCATAACCAGGACGCGCCTCCTCCTCGTAGCTAGCAACGTCTTGTAACACAGTCCTCCCGTGTACCACAGTGCCGACCATGCAGTCAATCCGGCGTATAAAATACTCGCAGCCTCCGTGTTAGACAATCTTCGAGGACGTGAGCGCACCTTGCAATAAAGTAACATTTGTTCTTTGTATTTATCACGTGATGGAACATATAGTAATTATAAGTCTGTCCTTTTTCAAAAAACTTCCTGAATTGGTGTATATCGGTGCAGTAAGTTAGGGTAAAACAAATATAGCTGGCTTCGTTCTAACTTATTGCACCAATGTACACCAGCTCAGGAGATTTAAAAAAAAAAACAGACCTCATAATGCAGCCCTTATGATAGCCAAGCCTGCAGGAGATTTTGCGCTCACTGCAGATTCTGTAAGCAGTTTGCTGGCAGAAGTACAACAGGATCTGATGACAGACCGATGGCAGAAATCGAACAGGATCTGTCGTTCCAATGTATTTAAATGGAACTTATTGCAGATCCTGCTCGCTTTCTGCTATCAATCTGTTGTCAGATTCTGTCAGCAGGCTCCGACAGAACAACAGCAGATTGTGGACACAGATGACTCTGGATCTGCCTTGATCTGTCGTCAATCTGCCAACAGATTGCTTACTGGACAATATACTTGCTAGATGTTCGATACCTGAGGAATAAGATGTTATCTTACCACGTTGCTGTTAACTACAACATAATTTGCATGACAGCCTTGCTGGTCCAGTGGAACTACTCCCCAAACTTCTTCACCTATCTCTAGTTTGTCCCCTACATTGTATCCCTTTGACACAACCACTCCTGCAAAGTCTCTGCCCAACGTCAGAGGTAACTCTAATTCATCGTATGCTCTCGAACAATTTGTTTTGCGCATCAAGTTCAGTAGAGACGCACCATAACCATCTGTAAAAAAAATACACTTGCTTCTGTCGTAGCTTATTTGACAAACCTGGATCACAAGAGAAGCATTCTATTATGAAAGAGGACAGAACCAAGAGAATTCAGAAGATTTGATATCTCTTATATGTAATGGTAATAATAATAACAGTTCATAATTTGAATGTTATGAGAAAAAGTAACTGATGTCAATCAGGAATGCATTACTAGTCATTGCGATGTCGATAGGATTCACACTGGCAGCCTCGACCTTCACCAGAACGTCCTTAGGACTCCGGATAATCGGTATACTGACATTGGTAAGTTGTAATTCACTCGGCCCATCGTAGGAATGTATTTTCCAAGCTTGCATCTTAACTTCCGGATTATCTTTCCTCCTGCCCGCTGGCTTCGTTAGAAAACGAAACTGAGCCAAACGAGCAGTGCATTTTAACTTCGGAATCGTTTTACACAACATCTCGTTTCAAAATCTCATGCAATCAAGTGCAAGAATGCGATATTAAAGGTTAGATTCGTACCGCACATGCTTTTACGTTGCTACGTAAACACTGCAGCGACACACAAACCGCGAGGCCGACTGTGTGTATTTATGCCAAGTCTCGAGAGACTATGTTCCATTTAGCAATCACATCGAGTGCGGCCGGTTATATATTTATATAAATATAAATATGTAAACACGTAAACATGTATATATGCATATGTATGTCTATATAAAAGTATTATAAATATTATAAAAGTATCACTTTATAATGCATATATAAATTATATTAAAATGTAATGTCTGTGTGTGAAATAAAAGCAGTTGGAAGCTGAACTATTATTTCTTATTATTTGTTACTCTTCCTCTTACATCGTATATATCTTGATACAAAGTTTGAATCTCGGCTGAAACGATTTTAAATGGTTTGAGTCTCGATTAAACCGATTTAAGTGACTTAAGTCTCGGCTGAGCAATTAATCCCCGGTCCCACTTTCGTGGTTTAAATCTAATCAATGATTAACTCAACTCAACGAAATTGATTAATCGCATTGGCCAATTAGCCGAATTGATCAATGTGATCAGTCAATTCCGTTAAGTTAATCGTCGATTCGATTAAACCACGATAGTAGAACAGGATATTAGTGGCCAAATCGGAAAATAGTTTGAACCGAAACTCAAACTATTTAAAATTTGTTTAGCCGAAACTCGAACCACTTTGGTTTGCGTCTCGACTAAAGTAATTTAAAATGGCGTGTGTCCCGACTAAAATATTTCTTATAAGTAGTATAAGTCAACAGAAGGTCAGACGAATTAAATTCTTCAAATTGGGAATACTAATTGATGAAGATAATAAAATATGTGAATCTATGTTTGAATAATGGAAAAAATGTTTATTATATTTTTATAATAATAATATTACAATAATACAATATTACATTACTGTATTATATATTATAATATAAAATATAGTATGTTGCAATATACATATAATGTATCTATAATATAAACATGTATTACATGATATTGAATTTTATTTATATATAATCTAATTTAAAATCAAATATATACACAATATTTGTATGTACATATATATAATGTTGCGCGCGCACATATTTAATTGTATATATATATATATATATATAAAATTAGTAAAAGTTTTATGATATTGTACAGCCGCGTTCAACAAAAAATTTATTTTATAACTATTGAAAGTTTCCTGTGCTGAGATTGGATTATTCCTCTAGATCTAAAAGAATAATCCAATCTCAGCTTAGGAACTTTCAATAGTTGCAAAATAAATGTTCTGTTGAACATCGCTAATGTATTTTACAAGTATATATTTGGTGCCTTTAAACATTTTTTTTTATTATATCTTTCAACGTACCCTTCACTATTCATTTCTATTATTTAAAATTCTTACGTAAATTTAAAATTTTAAGAAGAATATTTGAAGAGAATTTAACACCAATGAAGTTTGTTAAAATTACTTTGTGAAAACATATTTTTGGGATATGAGTTGTAAGTGTCGCGTTTTAAGAAATTGTAGACGCGTCCATATGAACTATTATGTACAAGCCGTCTGACGCAACGCGTCTGCAACTACTTATAGCGTAGCGTTTACAACGCATCTCAAGTATGTAATTTAAAAAAAAGTATAATTCTATTATATTTATAAAAAATTAATATTTTATTCTAAACACGATTAAATTTAACGTAAAATACCCTTTTACGTTTACCTTTGTAAAAATTTTGATACATTCATAAAAATAATAATGATGCAAGGTGTGTTGAATAATACAATATACCTACAAAAATATGACAATTTTATCTTCACGAATATCACGATTTTTAAGATATTCGCCCAACTTTAAGGAATTCTTTCAATGTCTAAACATGCAAGAAACCACATGTAAATAAATACGTGTGTATCTCTCCCCTCTTATTTTTACTTGCTCCGCAATATATTTCGAGCTCATCAAAATTAAACCGCTACAAAGGATACTTAAAAACGTTTCCTTGAAAGCATTTCCTCCTATATTTATGTAAAATTACGGATTCATGATTTTATATTACCAATAACAGTTCTATATTGCTTCCTAGTAGTATGGAGGGCACCAACGATCGTAATCTCATCCCTGGGTCGGTAAAGGATGGTCTGAACGACGCAAGATAGAAAATGAGAGAGAATAGAACAGAGAAAGAGAGAGAGAGAGAGAGAGAGAGAAGGATGAAGAGAAAGAAGAGAAGAGAGGGAGAAGAGCGAAGGAGAAGCAGAGAGAAAGGCTGGCGAGAGTGAGGAAAGGAGGTGAGAGAGATAGAGGGAGGGGAAGGAGAGGACGATGAGGGCGACGGGAGCGGCACAGGGAGAGCGTCGTATAGTGGGGCGTACCGGTACGAGCGGCGGTGCGAAGGGGGGCGCATCGCGGGCGCAGCGAGAGAGGATATTGACATTTTCGGCCGAGGGGCGCGCATCGCGGAGGAGGCGAGAGGGTGCGCCGGAGGGTGGCTGCGGTGAGACGGGGTGAACGGTGAGTGGGAGGGTGAGGGGGTGCGCGCGCGACGGGGCAGTCGCCTCTCCCTGCCGGATCCTGCAGTATCCATGGCTACGTCGTCCGCGAGGATTTCCCGCGAAAGATCGGAAGCGTGATCACGGCCGAGGCACGGTGGTCCACGGGGGTGTGTGCGAGCGGAGGAGACAGGCGGAGGCAGGCAGGCAACAGCAGCAACACCGGCGACAGCGACAACAGCGACGACTTGAGCAACGCCGAGGGTGCCGTCGGGAGCGGCGTCCGGGTAGCTTTCCGTCGTTCCTCGCGTCTTATCCCGGTGGGTTTCGCGACAGAGCCTCTCGCTCTTTCTCTCTACCTCTCTCCCCCCCCCCCCC